ACAAATGTAAACAATTGTCCAGAGTGCGTGAAAACTCTTGTCCGTCCCTATAAACGTTGTAATTTTTTAAAAAACTAATCCATAAAGCTAAATTTCATTGGAAAACATTGAAAATAATCCATAAAAACAAAAAAAGTTGGTAAAACTTGCTTTGACCCTTCTTTTGCTCGAATGCACTAGTGCAGACTACTTGGAAATTGTTGGAAATTGTTTTCCAATGAAATTTATCTTCGTAGATAAGTTTTTTTAAAAATTACAAGGCTTAAAATGACAAGGCTCGAATGCACTCGTGCAGACTACTTGGAAATAGCAATCTTCTTCAAAATCGTCTCAATCTTTCGATTAAAGCTCAAAGCCACTTAAAATCTTTATTTAAGTGATATTTTAATCGTTTTTTTGTTTTAATTTAGCAAAATAAGGCTTTTGACTACAAAAATAGGCTATAAAATTGGACAGGTTGACTCTCTGGATTGCACAATATGGTGACCACCTTACAGTTCTCAGCAATTTACAAAGGTTTGCATCTTTGCTCTTCTTTTGATCAATCAACTCTAGTGCAATTGATCTTCCTCGATTGGACGAGTTGGGCGAAATTCTTTTGTCGTAAAGCTCATACCAAGCGTTATGAGCAGGCGATGGAAGACGGTCAGTAATTTTGTTCAAAAATTTGGTCCAAAATAAGAACAAAACGTAACGTAATTGTTACAATTGTTAATTGTTACAATTGTAATTGCTATAACGTAATTGTTACCTTTTCTGGCTTGTTGGCGTAACTGTTTGCTTGTCGTAACTGTTTGCGAAAAGTTTTCAACTTACTAATCTTTGGAAAGACATCGATACCCGCAATCGCTAAGCACAACATGAAAAATGGTAGTAAAACGCAAAGAAGTATGTCGATAGACTAGAAATTTGTCATTTATCTTGCAAATTGCTTGTACTTTGTGTTCAAAAAGCAGTGACACACCATTTCTGGAGCATTAATTTTTGGTTATTTTGGATCAGTGGCATAGTGATGCCTCTTTCAGTTACCTGAAACAAAAAGATGACTAAGAAATATCGCTGCATCTCGATCGCCTCCTTGCTCAAATGTAATTGTCTTTCAAGGTTTTTTGTTCGGAATAATATCAGAAAGGATAAAATTGCGTAAGTGATAGATGCGTCCAAAAATACGATAACGGCAAAAATTGATGCATACGTGGTGATGGAACCCTTGCGGAACACCATAACGACGACTTCACTTTGGAGAGCTGGCAAGACGTCGTCGTCAAAGTAGAACTTAAAGGCTTACAATTGATACAAGACTTTGAAGTCTTCTGAAATCCTAAAGCTATAGAATAGAAAAAAGTTTGATTAACTTGAACACGCCATGCTTATCGACAATACCCGCTACTAGACTCGCAACGAAAACATCGGTACTGCCGTTGGCAATTTAAGGTTTTTCGTGTTTTTCTCACCACCAACCTTTCAATTTTAACTATTTTGCCTATCATTCGATGCAGAATAAAATTGCGCATTCAATGATACCAAAATTAACTCAAAATATATTATCCATGCAAAGTTGTTGGCTAAAAACCTTTTGCCTCCCCTTTTGTCTCATAACTTTGCATGGACATTATATTTTGAGTTAATTTTGGTATCATTGAATGCGAAATTTTATTCTGCATTGAATGATAGTCAAAATAGTTAAAATTGAAAGGTTGGTGGTGAGAAAAACACGAAAAATCTTAAATTGTCAACGGCAAAAAGGACCGACAGTTTTTTTCGTTATGAGTTTACTCGCTACCATAGAGTAACCCAATCTTTTTCCAATTTACAACTTTCATCGAATTCTTTGTCAGTCAGATCTTGAAGGCTTTAAGAAATAATCAGATTAGTCGATCAAGTCTAGAATGTTTTTCCTCTTCACCTGACAATCCACAAAACTGCCCATACAAAGCTCTTGGGAATTCAAAGCCAATGAAATGACCAAAAAGAAAACAATTGTTGAAAGAAAAGTGATGAAATAAGCTTTACGACGAAAGAATTTCGCCCAACTCGTCCAATCAAGGAAGATCAATTGCACTAGAGTTGATTGATCAAAAGAAGAGCAAAGATGCAAAGATGCAAACCTTTGTAAATTGCTGAGAACTGCAAGGTGGTCACCATATTGCCAAGAACAAAAATGTAGATTGTCTAAAATGTTTCAACTTTAAAAATCTCTTCATTTTCTTACAAATCCGATAAGTTGCCAAGGTTGGGGAAAATAAATTGGCGAAATCCCATAAAAAGCTCCATATGGTACAATGAAAAGCGGTTGCATAAAGCTGCATAAAAGATCGCAAATTTGAGAAGCAAGCTTAAAATTTGTTAATTAACTTAATTAACAAAAAGGTGTACTGTCAATTAAACAAGGGTTTTAAACTTACACAAATATTGATCATGTAAAAACGATGAGTTTTCGTTGCTTGGGATTCTTTGAAGAGTAGAAAGTAGAGCGTCAACAAGCATAGGGGTAATGTAACAAAGCTAGAAGGGATTTGTTTCAAATAAAACAATTCAAAAGTGTTGTTGAGGATTTCTGATTAAGACTGGCTGACTGACTGACTGACTGACTGACTGACTGACTGACTGACTGATTGACTGACTGACTGACTGGCTGACTGACTGATTGACTAACTGACTGACTGACTGACTGACTGACTGACTGACTGACCGACTGAATAGATCAAGACTTGTAAGTCTTACAGCTGGAAGGAGCTCAAATTTCAGACTCCTGGAAATCCTGATCTAGCAATCTAGCTCCAGAAAACTTCAAACTACCATAACAAATCAAGGTTTAAAAGCCCTTGAATCAATTGAGGCATTGATGCAAACATTTACTATACCGGTACTTCTTTGACTAAACCCAAAAGCCTGTAAGCCGGACCAAAACATGACTTCTAACCTTTTCTAAGAGCTGGTTAATGCTAAAAATATGTGTTATGGCTTAGGACCAGGTTAGAAGCCAGGTCCTGGTCAATTTTAGATACTTTGAGCCCTTGGTTACAACAAAGTCAAGCTAGACTAGCCAAGATTGCTTCTGGAAACTCTAGAACAATAACAACTACCGTAAAAGCTCTAATAGAAGAGGAGCGTCACGGATATCTATAGGAGCGTCACGTAGTCTAAGTTTAGTTTTAAACAAAAGCTCATATCTCGACACCAGTACATTTGTTTCTGCGCACTTAGGTATTAAATTAAAGTAGAAAGATAGGAGAGATTTTTCCGAGATATAAAACATATTTTAAGCATTAATCAGCTCTGGAAAAAATGACTGAAAAGTGGCAGCGTTTTTTGAACGCTAATTTTTGCCACTTTTCAGTCATTTTGTTCTAAGCGCTAGTTAAAGCTAAAGCTTAAAGTTAAGGCTAAAAATCTGTGTGATATCTCAGAAAAAAAATCCCCTATCTTTCTACTTTAATTTAATACCTAAGCGCGCAGAAACAAATGTACTGGTGTCGAGATATGAGCTTTTGTTTAAAACTAAACTTAGACTACGTGACGCTCCTATAGGGAGCTCTTCTATTAGAGCTTTTACGGTAGTTGTTATTGTTCTAGAGTTTCCAGAAGCAATTTTGGCTAGTCTAGCTTGACTTTGTTGTAACCAATATCTGAGTGTAAACCTAGACTACGCGACGCTCCTATATGGGCTTCTATTAGAGCTTTTGAAGTTTTGAAAGCAATTTCTAACATTTTAACTTAAAACTCACCTAGACAGGGCAAAGATGGAATTCAGAAAATATCTTTCAGTGATAGTTGGATGAAACATTTGTCAGAAAATTGTGAAATGTTTCAATTCACTATCAATTCAATAGAAACTAAAAAATTTCAATCAGAGTTCTCAATTTTCATTTTTTCTCAATTCTGCAACAAGTTAGACATTCAAGAATCACCTGGAATCGATTGAGAGAGAAAGAGTGACGTTTTTCATCATTCATATCTAAGTTATTCATCATTCATATCTAATTGATTTGAAAAAAAACGAAAAGTGAATTGCCATATGGAACAATGAAAAGCGGTTGCATAAAGCTGCATAAAAGATCACAAATTTGAGAAGCAAGCTTAAAATTTGTTAATTAACTTAATTAACAAAAAGGTGTACTGTCAATTAAACAAGGGTTTTAAACGTACACAAATATTGATCATGTAAAAACGATGAGTTTTCGTTGCTAGGGATTCTTTGAAGAGTAGAAAGTAGAGCGTCAACAAGCATAGGGGTAATGAGAAATTTTTCAATTCACTAAAAACTAAAAAATTTCAATCAGAGTTCTCAATTTTCATTTTTTCTCAATTCTGCAACAAGTTAGACATTCAAGAATCACCTGGAATCGATTGAGAGAGAAAGAGTGACGTTTTTCATCATTCATATCTAAGTTATTCATCATTCATATCTAATTGATTTGAAAAAAATCAAAAGTGAATTGCCAAAGTTGAGGCTGAAAGTCAATTTTACAAACTACCCTAAAGTCGCGAGTATAAGTTCTGTTTGGTTTTCGCATGCAAATTGACGGCTGTCTCCGGTGCGGTGTGTCGAGGGTTCGAACCCCGCTGCAGCATAACTTTTTTGCTTTTTAAGAACAATAATAGAAGTAAATTTATTGAGGGTTATAGCAATTTTATGCTGTTATTTGTTGCTCCGGGCGTGGCTCGGCGCATCCGCCCTGCTCCTCTCCGGTGCTCAGTCTTATAGATCCCTCCCTGGCCTCTTCATCCGGCCAAAGTCCACGTCGACGGTCGAAAGAGATGCTTTCCAGCGTCTTCTTCAACGCTCGAGACTTTAGGGTATTACACTCATTGATATATTTTGCATTTAAAAGTAACAGCTTTTATAAAAGTTTATTCAAAACTCGAAAAGCAAAAGATAAAAAGAGGGAAGTAATATGCGAAATGTTGCTAATGAAAAGCTTCAAATGCAGGATTTCGGAAAGCTAATGATTATTGAAATCAAGAAATATAAAAGCAAGCAATTCAGCGTGTTTTTAGAAAAGATGCAATCCAACATTTGCGCAGAAGATTTTCTCCCATTTCACTTGTTTCACAAGGGTTCGCGTGTGGAGTCGAGATACCTAAATGACACGATTTATTTCAATTTTTCTGTAATAATTAAAAGATTTTCTATAAGAAATCTTCAGTTTTCCTCTTCTATTTTAAATCTTCTATTCTTTTAAAACATAAATACAAATTTTAAGCGCTAAACTTCAAGTATATCTCATCTATTGGGTTGGTGAATTGAAAACTGCGGGCTATTGTCATATGTGACAGTTTGAGCACTTTCTTCAAAAGAAACTCATTTTGGTGTCAATAGAAAAGTTGTAGAGAATCCAAAATTAAGCTTATATTCAAATTTTCAGAACGATTCAAAAATTGGCTTTCAAGAAATGCCAAATTTACGAATTTTCACAAAACTTGCAACAAAACTTGCATTTTAACGAAACTGCTAAGTGTATCTTTTTGGAAATTTGGCTATGGGCCTAATTTTTAATTCTCTACAACTTTTCTATTGACACCAAAATGGGTTTCTTTTGAAGAAAGTGCTCAAACTGGGACATCTTCAGTCCTCCTAGGCTCTTTTATCTTTCATCCCGAATCTGCTTTCTCTAAATCCTCTAGAGCTTTTTTTGTAAATTATTAAAGATTAAAGAGTGTGATTAAAGTTTGGAATGCCCTTCTCGACAAGTTGCGTTTGATCTCCACCGTTTCTGATTTTAAAAGGGCTACTTCGTTGCATTTTAAGTGACTTTTTGATCTTTTATCTGATCGAACAAGATCAAACATTTTTCATGTCGTTTTCGCACTTTATTTCTTTCTAAATAAAGTATTTATATATAATTAAAGAAAACATATATTCTTATTCTTGTATTGCTATTCATAGAAAGTAAATATAAAGGTTTTAGTTAAGAATTTATCTAGTCTACACATTTTATTATAATTGGCGTACTTTAAAGAGAAAAATCCCGTTTTTCCACTTGGGATTTGACTTGAAAACGAAAAAGTCTTCAAGTGGGGAAAAGTGTTTAGGCTCAAGGTTGAATTATAGTGTAAACTTGAGAAATAACTAAGATTATTTGAATTATTTTAATGTTTAAGCGTTAATTATTCTCACTGGAGTAATTGATGTGGCTTTTGAGATGAGCTCATCCATAAAACCGGCAAATAAGTAAGTGGTGTAGAAAGTGATTTCATCGTCGGAAATACTAGCCGCGATGAAACTCAGCAGTTGTCTAAAGATGAAATATAGAACTTATAAAGGAGAATTCAATACTGAATTCAATCTATCTTTTACCTAGCCGTCTCTTCACTATTCGCATAGCATGACAAGATCTGTGTGCCCAATCTGAGGGCATATCCGAGTGGTTGTTTGTGTTCATCGAAAGCAATCACTCCATTTACACCATTCACTTTCAAAAGAGCATTCAAATATTCGGATCGATCAATCATCGTGCATTGAGAATCATATTCGATCAGAGTTTCCTTGTTCGCATCGGAGATCGCCGAGATTTCGGTAGCCGAAGCGCCAGTGAGGGATTCGATGTCTTTTCTGGAAATGATTGGGATTGAATAAGATTGGAAAATTAGAAACTAGAACCAGGCCAAGCTAGAGTTAGACTAGTAGCCTGATCTTGATCTTGTAGATCACTAACAAAGGAAAGGAACGATTCAAAATTGTTTGTTTTGTTTGTTTTGTTCTTTTTTTCAACTTTGTTCTTTGTTCAAAATCTCAATAATGTTTTCTTTCATAAAACTAAAAAAATTGTCAGAAATTTGAGCCCAAAGTAAAAAATCTAGCACTATCCACTGCGCGACGAGCTCACATTTGGAAAACGATATAAAAAGCTTTCAAACATCAGTCAATACTTGTATAATAAATATCTCGAATTACAAGAATCCCACTCGATAAACTAAAATCAGATTCAGAATTAGCGTAAAAAGTTCTATCAGGTATACTGGGTTTCATTTTGAAAGGCAACCTTGACCTGGTGCCTTTGAAAGGCAACCCTGGTGCCTTTCCCTCGTAAGTTATTCTCAGAGTCAGACCAACAGTTAGATTCTGACATTGTTTAACAAACTTGATAAAGTCAGAACCAGAGCCAAGGCCAACCAGAGCCAGACAAACTTGATAAAGTCAGAACCAGAGCCAGAGCCAAGGCTAAGGCTAGACTAGAAGTTAGGTCCAGCATCTGGCTTTGTTTGATCTGATCTGGCTTTGTTTGATCTGATCTAGATCTGATCTAGTTTTGTCTCATTCTTAATTCATATAAATCCTGAGCCAGTCTGATCTTTAATTAGCATAAAACCTTTTTGAAATAGCTTCAATTTCAATCGTACCTCTTGCAAGTGACTTCCACATATCGCTGATTATCGGAAACCATAAAACCAGCATTATCTCTCCAGCCAGTCAAGCTGAAATTTAAAAGAATAAAGATTGATTTAGAAATCTCTTTTTGACATTTAAACCTTCCCACTTTCTATTCCCGACCACATCAAGTGTGACATTTTTCGTGAGATCAAGGCAATTGTTGCCGATCGTTTTATTCACCATCCATTCCATTAAAAACTCTTCAACTGGTCTAAAATGGCTTTCTTTCTTTTAAAATTTAAAAATCTTATTCTTTTAAAGAATTTTTCTTAAACTTTACTTCTCATCATGCTCTCCAAAAACGGCGATAAACATGCCAAGACCGTTGTGATTGGGTTTTCCCTCCTCGCAGCGAGAGATCTGAAAAGTTTAGTTATCAGTTATAATTTAGATAATCTAAATTTATCTAAAGCTATTTAGATAATAGCTTATAAACTACTACCGTAAATACTGTGGTACCCCACCCCCATAGTGACGGTGCAGAGTGCTGCGTAGTCTAGCTTTGACCGAGGGTTTCTCGACCCTGGTTTATGCTACTATGTGGGCTTACGTATCAAAAAATAGCCCTGAATTTCAGCTATTTTTTGATACCTATTGTAGCATTCTAGCATAAACCAGCGTTGAGAAAAACGCATCCAAAGCTAGACTACGCGACACTCCGCACCCTCATTATGGGGGTGGAGTACTATTACAGTATTTACGGTATGTTGTAGCTGAAGAAAGACAGAAGATCTATTAGGCTGTTCAGAGAATCTTTTCGTTCCGTACTTCTGTTTAAAAGCAATGATTGGAGTTAATGATTGGCCCTTGAATGCGGAGTGTTGCGCAGTCTAGCTTTGAACGCGTTTTTCTCGACACTGGTTTATGCTACAATACGCGCTTAGGTATCAAAAAATAGCCCTGAATTTCAGCTATTTTTTGATACCAAAGACGCATTTTTTGAAAGTACGGGCGCTTTGAAAAAAATAAAATACTAAAAAACTTTTGCGACTACGCGACTGTACGAGGAGGGTGGGGTACTATTACAGTATTTACGGTATATGCAATGCTTGAATACAAATAGCATATAAACTACTAAGTGTCTGTAAAAAGTAAAAGCTAAGTGCCACTACGGGGAGTCGAACCCGGATCTTGTAAACAAGCCGTAAGCGCTCCCGACTGCGCCAAGCCAGCAGGTTTGTCGGGTAATAATTTTATAACTTAACTAGATTCAATTACAATTATTACAATTACAATCAAGAGCTTATCATGATTTTTTTAATAAATTAAAGCTTCAAAACGACAAAATTTGTTTAGAAGTTCAATGCCACGTTAAGCTTTGTTTCAAGCAGAATATAACTTTAGTAACTTTGTTAAGACTACTTAGTAGATTAAATTTAGTAAGTTGACTACCTAGTATGCCTAAAATTTACATTTAAAGTCAATCTCTAATTATCCACCTTGAGAATAGTGTGATTCTTCACAGTGCTCACATCATCAAGCCAAATTGTCGAGTTCTCGTATTTCTCTGCCACTTCACCCACCATACAATACGCCTGGAATTAGATTTTGTAAGATTTTGCTCTTTAAAGCCTTTAAATCTTCAAAGCCTTACTTGCTTCACGGAGTACATGTTCATCGCACCAAAAGCTATCGGCGATTTTCCATCAGTGTCGACAATTGTCACAGTGTAGATGTCCTAAAAAGATTGTAGTTTCGTTTTGGAGTCAATCTGTCGGTTATTTATTTTGTTCTGATATATTCTTAAATCTGACAATTCCAAGAAAAGCAATGTTTTTCTGGGGCTGGGACAAATGTGACCTTTTTTTTGCGCACCTGGACATTTGCGCACCTTTTTTTTGCTGGAAAAGGCCTTAGGAAAGGTCGTAGAGCTTCGAAAATGTTTCCATACTGCAGAATCGTATGCGTAGATTCCGAATTTCGACAAATCAAAGCAAATCAGACCTCACTGACACGTTAAATTTGAGCTAAAAGGCAAAAACTACGCAACTTAACGCTTTTCCGCAGTTTTTACCTTTTAGCCCAAATTTGACGTGTCAGCGAGGTGTGATTTGTCGAAATTCGGAATCTACGCATACGATACCCTTCTATGAAAACATTTTTGAAGCTCTACGACCTTTCCTAAGGCCTTTTCCAGCAAAAAAAAAGGTGCGCAAATGTCCAGGTGCGCAAAAAAAGGTCGCATTTGTCCCACCCCCGTTTTTCTAGTACTTGAACTTAGTCGAGTCACTTCTATTGCTGTTATCCAAGAAATTTCAATGTAATGAGCTAGTCGTATCTCTTTGTGGCTATTGTTAAATCCTAATATCTTCTTAAACTTGAATACTGTGATTATTCGATATGAAATTTAAATTTGTGAATCAAAACAATCAAAGTATTGCATTTTGTATTGCATTTTGTATTGGTAATCTTCGTTGTAGGGAATTTAGCCCGTTAACTGAATATCTTTCACGTTTACTATATTTAATCTTTTGTTTCTTTTTGTTTGTTTTCTCTATTTTCTTTTCAGATCTCTTTTCTATTCATTAAAAGAAACACTTCTTGCAAGTTCAATCAAACTATTGTTTACAAATTGTTTGATCAAATTGCACATGAATTTGGGAAAAGTTTGTCAATGGTTGGAGATATGACGATCAGTTAAGAAGCATCTCCGCGCGAAAAAAGATTGGAGAGGAAAAAGTCCTTGCAAAAGCCATCTTTATTCAGTATAAATGTTAGATCTAGCCTGATTCTAGATCTAAAGTGATGTGAGGTCAAACGTCCGTAACGTCAAACGTCCGTAACGTCAAACATTCGTAACGTCAAACGTCCGTAACGTCAAACGTCCGTAACGTTAAACGTCCGTAACGTCAAACGTCCAATCTAGACTCAAGCCGATCACTCTAAAGCAGGCGTTCAATCCAGAATTAGCTTTAGAGATCGGCTTGATTCTAGATCGGACGTTTGATCTGATTTCACTCTAAATCGAACTTCCGATTTAGAATCAGTCTATCGGACGTAATATATCAATAATATGGTCTGAAATTTATAAAAGCTTTTTCCGGAAAGTGAAAGAAGCGCTGAGCAACTGAGCCGTCTTTCGCGTTTCTTCAGCGCCCAAATTTTTGACATCATTTTTTTGCCTTAAATTTAGCTTTATTTCTGATACAAATTCTAGAACCCGTTAAACTATTGTTTTTACTTAAAAAGCAGCCAAACTGAATACAAACTTCACTCTAGATCGGACGTAAGATATATATATATGGAAAAAATGCTCTAGCAGACCACTCTAAATCTAGGTTTGGATCGGCTGTTTGATTTAAAGTGATCGGCTTGATTCTAGATCAGACGTTTGGATCTAGCCTGATTCTAGATCTAGAGTGATGTGAGGTCAAACGTCCGTAACGTCAAACGTCAATCTAGACTCAAGCCGATCACTCTAAAGCAGACGTCCAATCCAGAATTAGCTTTAGAGATCGGCTTGATTCTAGATCGGACGTTTGACCTCACTTCAATCTAGATAGGACATCCAATCTAGAATCAGTCTAGATCAGACCTAACATAAATACCTCAAAATTCGAGAAAGCTGTATTGTTGTTGGTGGGCAAGAATCCGCCACAAAGGGCTCGATTCGCCGACGAGCCTTCGACCAAATGAGCAAGTTGAGGAGAAGAAAGCATCTGAATCTGGAGCTGGATTTGGAGCTGGATTTGGAAATGAAAAACGATAAGAATATGACAAATTTAAAACCGCCTACACCAAGAAAAAACCAGTTCTGAATCATTGACTTTGCACTCGAAACTCGTAAAGTGAAATGTTCCGTGAAGAGTCAAGATTGGGAGAATTTGAAGGGGGAAAAAAGGATGAAAGTAAAAGCTTTAAGGATTGCCATCGTACATAGAGAAGTTAAATCATGTGACAAAAATCAAGTCTTGCTTTGTCATTTTAACTTCAGTTCTCTTCTCTAGCATTTCCTCTAGCATTTTCTAATTGGAAAACTTATTACTAAAAGAAATACTGTCAATTTATAAGTTAGATAAGTATAATTGCCTTAAATTTGTCTTAAAATTTTCTATTCTTATTACAATTTTGGTTTGTCTAGGTTTTCTTGTAACGTAGGTAATTTTACAATGTAATTTACAATGTAAATTGGAGTGTACTGTTCATCTTTAAGTCAAGAAAGAAGAAATTTTGAAATCTATCAACTGGGATAGCTTGAGTTGTTCGGAAAGTTGTATCTATTTTCACAAAAGTGAAAGATGAGATCAGCCGCTATTCCTCTTTTCTCCAACAAAAGAATTGGTAGATGACCCGGTTTTTCTTTTCGAAAAGTGAGGCAGAAAAGAGTTTAATGCAAAACATTCAAAGAGAGATCTTTTCTAGAATTCATTGAATCGTATTTGAGAGCAGAGATCGTCAAAAGCGATAGCCCAGTGAGCGAGTGACCTTATCTGCACTTCGGACTCATTTAATGAATTGTTTTGATGTTAGAAAATGACTATAACATTCAATGAGATGAATTAAAAATTAATTAAATGAATAAGATAAATAAAACAATTGTTATTATCCTTTAGCGAGAGCCAAGCGAGAGCCAAGCGAGAGCCAAGCGAGAGCCAAGCGAGAGCCAAGCGAGAGCCAAGCGAGAGCCAAGCGAGAGCCAAGCGAGAGCCATTTGAACATTGAATAAAAGAATATTTCTTTTCAAAAGTAAAGAAACTTTGGTGTAAAGAGAATTGGCTGAAAGCGGAAAGCGGAAAAGCGCAATTTACAGCATATTTACTGTATAACAAAATCTGTACTCAAAGTATTGAAAGAAACTGGGCAGAACAAAATAACAAAGAACTTGGCAAACACCCATCTCTTAGAAGTAATTCTTGAAAACATCAACAATCGAGAGAAGAAAGAGATCAGTAAAACGATTAAAATCTTCAGTGAGCAAAAAAATACAATGAATAGTTGTTGTGAAGAATGAGTGAGAGTGAAAAAGTGAACAGAAGAGAAGCGAATGAAAGAGAGGAGAAGGAGGAGGACGATCAGAAACCAGTCACAGAGGTGTGGAGGTGAGTAGGGAAAGTTGAGAGTGAGGGTGAAGGTGGATAAGAATTCTTAAACACTCTTAAGGATTCCTAAGGGAGTTTTAAGATTCTCAACTCTTAAGGAAATTCTTTTATAGTACCTTCTAGCTTGTTTTCATGAAGCTGTTAAGTTTAAGCTTTAAAACGGTGCGAATCTTACAATTAGTTTGATCTAGTAATGTCAAGCCAAGATCAAGGCTGATCGTTGGCTTGTCTTTGGATTAGAAATCGGTTGCTGTCCTCTTTCTGAGCTACATCTTACAATTAGTTTGATCTAGTAATGTCAAGCCAAGGTCAAGGTTGATCGTTGGCTTGTCTTTGGACTAGAAATTGGTTGCTGTCCCATTTCTGAGTTACATCTTACAATTAGCTTGATCTAGTAATGTCAAGCCAAGATCAAGGCTGACCGTTGGCTTGTCTTTGGATTAGAAATCGGTTGCTGTCCTCTTTCTGAGACTCTTCCAAAATTTTAGTAAAATAAACATTCAAAGAAAGCCATTCTTGATGCAAGATTAAAAGTACTGATATTGAACATGGAAAGCTTGAGGAACAAGGCTTGAGGATCATTTACAAGGTAAAATTAAAACAAATGTTGGAGTCTGAAAAAGTTCCTCAGTTGCTAGGAGAGAAGAACCAGTCAGAGGCTCTAGTTTTGTGGAGAAAAGATGAGAGAATCCCTCTCTTCTCCCCAAAAACACTCCACGCTTCGACGATCCCTGCCTACGGCCATTTAAGATCGGAAACTGGATTCGGAAAAGAGATCTACTGGAAAAGAGATTGAAGAGAGATCTACTGAAGATAAAGTAGAGTGACTGGTTCAGTGGAAAGTGTGTGCTTTTTAAGCGGTGAAAACGGTGAAGACATCAATGTGAATTGTGGAATACAACGGATAGTACTTAAAGCAAAGGCTTATCTCCAAAAAGATTTCAAAAGTTCCAGCCAAAACCAATAAATAGAAATCCACTTACACGTTTGAAAAATCTAAAGAAGCTCACTAGAAACGATCTCAAAAATCGAGAACGCTTTTGATTCGAAAAAGTGAAACGCCTGAAAAAAAGCCGCTAAATGGGATGCAGGTCAAAGCCAATTTTGAGAAAAAAAAGTGGGCTTTTGAGAAAGTTTGCGGAAAAATTGAAAGATCTACTTCGTTGGATGAGGAGAGATTCCTTTTGATCCGATTGACTGTGAAAGAATTGTAGGAAAAGAGAAAAATGGGGTCATGAAGGCACTCTTTTCATGAAAACGGGGAAATATTCGGGTGTCTCGAATGGAAGAAAAGAGAAGTGAAAAGAATGGACAATCCATACAGTGAAGAGACTATAATTATACAAGAAACGGGTGCGCAGATCAGCCGTGACGGGATTCACGGTGTGAGCTTTAGGCAAAGAATAGAAAACATCTATTTACTTGTGGAAAATATCTACTTACTTGTGATTTTATCACCTGAGATTTTAGTTTTACTTTAAATTTACTACCAATAATGGTCTAAAGAGCTGTAAAAAGAGAGATTTCAGGGCTCTATGAATATTTTCATGATCTGTAAGCAGAGTTATAGCAAATCCAGTCCAAAGTCAAGCCAGAACCAGGCTTCTGACCTCACAAGACCCAGATCTGGAAAAAATTGCGTTTGAAATAGCCTTGTTTTATAGAAAAATTGAAATAATTCTATTTTAAAGCAAGAAGCCATTGAGGAAGCCATTGAAGAAGCTTTGAAGAAGCCGAGAAGCTATTGAAGCCTTTCGAGAAGCTACTAAAGTTTTAAAGAGAATGATTGATGAAAAGAAGAGATTCTAAACTCAATTATCATGCTATAAAAAGCACAAAATTGAGAGAAAAGAGGTAGTTTATAAAATTGTTTATCCTTTGATGATAGACAATAAATGATCGATCGATTAGTCGAGAACAGAGCTCAATTTTGATGAAAACTTTGATGGAGTGCTTTCTATTGGAGCCGACTTTCAAAGAAACTTTAATAACATTGAGTATTCTTTATCAAATAATACGCAAATAGTATCATTAGGAAGGTTGCTTATTTCTCTACAAAATCAGATTTGAAATAAAACTCAAAAAGCGTCCCAATACAATAAAAAGCGTTTCAAAACAATTTGATTTAATTAATTTTTTTTCAGAAAATCTATAAATCGTCATTTAGAGAAAATGGCTGACGAGATTACTACAAAAATTGAGCTACTTATGTAATGAAATGTCCTCTAACTTTTTTGTGTAGAGATCAAGTTAGGTTTATGTGTAAGAAACGAGTCAAATGACGAGCCGGACTCCTTGTCATTTTGATTAGTTACGTTTAGAAGCTCATAAAATCCACAAAACAAAAGCTTTTCGAAATCTCCTAAAAGCCATTTAATAGAGAAATTATAGGCCTTTTTGATTATACAAACAATAAATTATATGAAGCTTTTATATCTTTCAGAAATTCGACGCCATTTCACTCTCCAACCTAATAGATAAACGGGTTTATAGATTGAAAAAGGCTTTCAAAGCCTTTCAAAAAGCTATTCAAGTTTTAAAGAGAATAATTGATGAAAAGAAGAGATTCTAAACTCAATTATCATGCTATAACAAGCACAAAGTTGAGAGAGGATAGGTAGACAAATGAAGCTTTTATGCGTTTTAGAAAAATTTTTGAAAGTCAGCGCCATTTCATACTACCCAAATTGAATAATGAAGCTGAGGATACATCTTTTGAACATCTGAATTGGTAGATAAAGTCAGTCTTATTGTTGGAACTGCAGGATGTACTCATTCCTGATTATCAGGGCTCCAAAAAGCCCCATTTCATCAGGGCCCCATTTGATCAGGGCCCCATTTCATACTCCCCAACCTAATAGATAAACGGGTTTATACATTGAAAACGGCTTTCAAAAAGCTATTCAAGTTTTAAAGAGAATAATTGATGAAAAGAAGAGATTCTAAACTCAATTATCATGCTATAACAAGCATAAAATTGAGAGAAAAGAGGTAGATTATGAAATTGTTTATCCTTTGATGATAGACAATAAATGATCGATGTTCGAGAACAGGGCTCAATTTTGATGACAACAAAGCGTTTCGCGGGCTCTTTTTGGCAAAATTGATAAATAGCTCGCAAAATGGATTACGGTAGTTTTCTCAAAAACGGATTACATTAGTTTCTCAAGGTGTTTTTCTGAGAGCGTATCTCTGGAGTTCTTTCTAGCAAAGATTTCTAAAGTACGAGGTGAAAAATAACTGTTCTTTAAATAAGAACATATCCACAGTATTCCACAAAATATTATACGCTTGAGTAGCTACGAAAATCTAAAGTTTAAATTATTAGCTTGGTAAATATGAAAGGTTATTTTTTACAAAAAATATTGCCCTGTCGTTACGAAGAACATTCCCTGTCTAGGATTTTTCTCAATAATATGTCAAAATGTGCTCATGTTTTTTTTGCAAAAACATTTTTGTTTTGAACAATATTTGTATTGTTTCAGCTCGGCAAAGATGGATAACCAAAAATTTAAAATCAGGGCCGCCATTTTCTTTGAATTCAATTTAAACAAGAAAGCTACGGAATGCCATCAGAACATTTGTACTGTTTTTGGAGAAGCTACTCTTACTTGCAAACA